CTGAGTTTGTAGATAAAAAAAAAAAATCTTTCAACAGTATTGATCGTCTCTGTGAAATGATTAACGATTAAGAAGCTTTGTTCTACACTCATTTTATTTTTATTAATTTATTCTTACAACAATTAATTATTCAAGTTTAGTTTCTAGGAAATTTTATCAGATATTTTTTATTTTTTTTAAGGACCTTATTTGTTGATAAAATTGGACAGAAAATGTACATATCAAACTAATGTTGAAGACAGAAATAAATAAGACCAAATTATTTCATGAGAAGAAAAATTAAGACTCCCTTCTCTTATTTGTTAAAAATTAAAAAAAAGATAAATTATTTTATGTTCCTTTTTAATTGAAAACTTAAATGTTACTGCTATAAGTATAACAGACTAAACAAAAGATCACTATTTTATGCATTGGATATTCCATATAAATAACTATGATTTGAGAAATCAAAGAAAAATGGAAAGATTTAGAAATGATGTCATTCCTGCGTTATGCTTAGTAACCCGAAAAGTTGTCACTAACTTTCCAAATTAGTTACAAAGGTCTTTTGCAGATGGCGCCACTACCAGCAGGGAAAACTTAGTACATAATAATAACGCCCAATCTATAACTAGTTAATATTCTTGTTCTAATTTTGAAAGAATTAAAATCACAGAATTCTTTATATTATGTACTGTAAAAGAAATAATTTTACACTTAATTAATCATTTATTACAATGAGAGTATACACAGTCCCTGGCCAAATTATCAGACGCACTATAAGAATCTATGCAAAATCATAATTATCAGGTGATACTGTACAACTTTATTGTTTTTACGCGACTAAAACTGGTTTGCACTTGTTCACGTTCGTGTATCAGTTGGATAAATTAGATATATTATATAAAAATAGAATATATATTAAATCAAGTATTATTTTAGTATATTATAATCTTGGCCAAAGATTATAATAATGAGGCCAAATCATTTGACGCACTGTAATGTTTTAATAATTGCACGTTTTGCACGAAATTATATGCAATACGTGGAGCATCGTTTATACGACGCCGAAGGGACCACCGAAAAACGTCGTATAAACGATAACGTCGTATAATCGATTTTTACTTCTAAAACTGAAACTAACTCTGTTTTCAGTTAATTTTAATGTTTAACGTGTTGATTTACATAAATTTCTAAATTAGACAAAGCAAAAAAATGACCAAAGAAGAAAATTTGCAGTGAGCAATTTGAATGTATGTTACCTTTAATTATATTTTCTTGCTATTAGTCTCTACAATGCTTTGAATAGCGAGTTGAACTTACTGCTTTCTATGATGCAATTTTAGATTTCTAATCATGGCCAAATCTAATGGCTGAAGCGCACTTGTGCAATTTGCAGGAAAAAGGAGAGCTTTTACATTTTCCGAAATAATTAGTATCGATGGGTGCGCTGGACATTGGTCGATGAATAGCAAAATTTTTCGTTTTTGCCTCTTCATAACATTGTCTAGTTTTTTCAGTCATCTAGTAAAAATTACGGTCGTCATCCAAGCATTCTTGTTGGCACTCTTTTCTGTATCATTCATGTTGGCAAATTCCGCCCTTTTTTAAAATACACAAGAAAAAATAAAAAATTAAATAAACGTGAACAAAATCTAAAAACCGACGTATAACCGATTTTGTGCGTCGTATAAACGATATATTTTTACATTAAAATGAATAGGAATGATTTGGGACCACACTAAAACGTCGTATAAATGTAAACGTCGTATAAGTGATCGTCGTATAAACGATGCTCCACTGTACTTTTATATTTAAACGTACATGTAATGGATTTTTATTCAGGAGATTTTTTTATATACTTCCTATTTATATTTATTCTTAACGTGTTGCATTACAATGTAAACCAATTGATACATGAGCATAAACAAGCATAAACCGGTTTCAGTCACGTAAAAACAGTAAGGCTGTATAGTGTCACCTGAGTAATTAAGATTTTACATAGAATCTTATTGTGCGTCTAATAATTAGGCCAGGGACTGTACAAAAGTCATTAAGTTGTAAAATTCATTAAAATAAATTTTCAATTAAATATTTAAAGTGTAAATTCAGACTTAGTTACTGACCTTTAATAATTTCAATCCTACTTTTTTTTCACTTTGCAATATGTGCCTTTAGCTACCAGCTTAATCACCTTGCCAAACTATCTTGTGCAACATATAAGCTTTAATGGTAACCAGGTCAAATGCATAGCACAACTGTATTTAAATATTATAATTCTTCACCCCTCAGCCAATCCTAACACTTTAATTCGTTTAAAACGATTTATTAACCAAATTTTTTTATCGTCTTGCTGTTGGCAGCAGCTTTGTTCACTCGGAAGTACTTCGATTAAAATTTTTAACTATTTACAAGAGATGTCCTAGATATTTTCAAAGTGCTTTTGGTATGAAATTTTACTAAATAATTTAAAATCTATCCTGCAGCTATTAAATCACACAAACCACCATCAGTATGAGTTCCGAACATTTCAGCATAGTACGCAACATAAGTATTAAAATCATTTCCATCTCTGTAGTGAGGTAGAAAATTCATCCAAATGCTACTTCCTCACGCACTTTCCGGACCGCAACTTGAGTATCGTAAAATAACTGCATGCTATTGCTCGCAAAAAGCTAGCTCCGCTACGAATAATTGGCATGACAGCATGCGGCACCATAGCACCGTTTATGTTTAAAATTTCTGCAGTCATTTTAGAAGGGATCAAAAATAAATCTAAATAGTTACTTCGTAACTAAGTTTTTTTTTCTATTAAAATACATTCTAAATAAATGCTTATATTCACCACTATTTATTACTTAAATTATTGCTTACAACCTAACAAAAAAGAAATTTAAATAAATATTTAACTTATAACTTATTTTTTCAATCCTACTAAAGTTATGATGACAACCCAACGAAATGAATAATAGCTATGATGTTGCCAATAAATAGAGAAATATCCCAGTTTATGGTGACACACAAGAGAAATATTTGTGTATATATATAAAAGAACAAACAAAAAATTTACAAAATCAATAAAAATATTGAAGCTTCCTCTATTACTGATTTGTAACTAGACTACTGGCATATAGAAATGAAAAAATTTTTCATTAAGTTCTTCAAAATATTTATATAAATAATTGTTATATTTTTATACTTATAAAGGAGTTTTCTCACAATTCAATCATACATTTTACAAAAATATTTTTCCTAGAAGGACATAACTTATTTCAGAAATAATAGAACAATAAAGCTGCACAGACTTCAATGACAAGTTAAGCCTTAGCAGACGATATATCCAAAATGTATTTGAAATTGAAAAGCTTTACAAAATCGCTAAATAAATAATTTTGAAATTGAAAAACATTTTTATTTTTTCGTGTATATCGACGAATCATTAAATTCTACCACGCTTTGAGAATAATAGTTGTTTAATCAATTTTTATCCATCTTTTTAATCTAACATAATTTTTAATGGTGATGACTATCATTAATGAAATCTCTTCAAAATATAAAATAAAGGTAATTATGTTTTATTAGTATTTAAGAGTTTTAGCTAAGTTTTCGAGTATAACGAAGCAAAATCTTTGAATTTTATGTTATTTTCATATATTACTCATTAGAAACTGAAAGGTAATTTTCATGAATTGATTAACCTATTAATTGAAATATTTTAGAAAACTTCCCTCCTATTATTGCTAAAATAATAAAAGCTGGTTTTTACAATTAGGTAAACAATACACTATTGTTATAGATTATACAATTTATTTTCAATCAATAACTGTGTTTAAACTATTAGCATCATTAAACTAACTATTTTACGATTGATAAAATATTAATAATTTCTTGTAGATTTAATTCTATGGCTGTTAAACATTTATGCCAGAAGCACATAAGTATTGCTTCGCAGACGTAAAAACAGGAACAGTATCATGAAATGAAAGTTAAAAATTCTCTTTTGTAATCAATAGAATTTTTCTTTTCTTTTAATTTTTCGCAATTCAATAAATGTATTGTTCAATGGAGAATTATTTTGTCGTTCAAGAAAACACAGTTTTCGTTTCTTAAATGCGCGTGATTCTTACGAATTTTATGGGTTTTTTTTACTGCCTCGAAAATATATCTAACAAATGTTTTAAGACGCTAGAGATTAAATAACCGCTGACATTTCTCATTTTATTATTCAATCTAAATTCAATGAATAAATTTTTAGAATTGAATAAAATATTTAGCATCACTTTGTAGAAATTAAGATACACTTTGTTTCGATATTTTTTCTATTGTTTTTAAGAACCTCCATTTGAGTAAGAAGCATAAAAAATGTGATATTCTTGTTATGTATTACTATTTTATGCAAATTGTTAATATTTACAACTACGCGAAATGCTAATATATGCTAACGAAAGAAAAGTATGCAATTACCTCGGAATACTTTTGCACAATATCATGAATTATTCTTTGGCATACTATTACAACGTATACTTTTATGTGTATTACTTACTTTTATATGTATTAATTTAAATAAATCTTTTTAAAATACGTACTTTAAAAAATAAACCCTGATAAATTTTCCAATGAAATTACCGTGAAGAACAAAAAAGAAAGTTATTGTTTTTCATTTATTTTCCTTAATTGATCATTATATAAATGACCGTTATCTTTATTTATATTAACTAAAATGCTGAAAATATTTAAAAAAATTTATTTTCTAGAATGACAATTGCTCTTTAATCAAAGTATGGAAATTTTGAATTATGCTTTCTTTAGTCATTATATAAAATTATTTTTGATATTTCCATTTTTATTCTTTAGAATGCAGTTGCAATGTGTGAAATATTAAATCGATTGCCGATTTGTCATTAGTCGTTCTATGAAATGCCTTGAAATATTAACCTTGTGTGAAATATTAACCATTTGTTGGCAAGATTTTTCCCATTGACAACAAAATATTAGCTTAATCATTATATTTGTTTTAATAGGTTCTTCTGCGTACAAACAACCCAGGTATTTTTTACGAATACTGGTTGCCAAAGCAAACCCACAGCCATAGTGGTGGCCAATATCCATTACAGCCAATAAACAATAAGCAAACAATCCCAACAAAAGCACCGATTTTATCAACGAAATCTCAATCCTATGCAGTGCCATTTTATCCTCATAAATCCAGTTTGAACAACCAAAAGATTCATCATCCAACAAAGCCTGCATATGCGTATGGATATGGAGAAAAACCTTACAAAGGACAAGAACCACCCATATTTCGCCATATTTTATCAACTACCATAACACCACCAGAAAACCTTTGGCGCAAGCCCGCTCCACAGTATCCATCGCATATAGATCAAGTTGTACCAGCTCTCTCAGATACTTACAAAAAAGATTACAGATTCAGGAAAGATGTACCGGGGTATAAACCCAGGTATGTGAAACCAGAAGTTGATTTCTACCAAACTTACCGCAATGCTTCAAGAAATGCAGCTCGCAGTCCTGTAGATTACCCCAAAGATCTTCCTGTACAAGGCGATTCAAGTGTTTCTGGAAACAGACATGAAAACAAAGATCAGAAAACTTCATCTATAGATAAAAAACCAAAACTCCTTGGTTTAAAGCCAGCAAAAACGGAACTAAAAATCACCAAACGTGGTGATGATCAGCCTCGGAAATACGTGGCAAACGGGCGCTTGAAGTATTCTTTTGAATCTAAAACTAGTGATGAAGTTTATGCTAATACTACAGGAGGTTTTCACCCAGAGCAATTGGCCATAAATATTTTAGCACTGCCTGATAATGGAAATTCAAAGCAAGGTGCCAAACAAAGTGGTAAGTTAAGGGTGACACCTTTTCCAACCTATGCTTTTTTCTTTACTAATAGTGTTGCTATGATAATTATTCTAAATGCTGCAATAATTTTTTTATAGTGGTGATTTATTTTGTAGTTATTAAGGTATCCGACTGGGTGCCAAACAAAGTGGTAAGTTGAGAGTGACACATTTTCCAACCTATGCTTTTTTTTTCATGATAGTGTTGCTATAATAATTATTCGAAATGCTGCAATAATTTTTTTATAATGGTGATTTATTTTGTAGTTATTAAGGTATCCCACTGGTTAAAAATCATCAATTTTGACGATAATTTGGATTTTCGTTTTTATTGTCCGTACTTTATTTCCGGCGATGAATAGCCGACCCAATTTTTTGAGTCTATGTTTAACTCCGTAGCCTTGTAATTTTAAACCCATGTGATAAAATACACCCAAAACAGGTAACAAGAGAACTCCTTGATCAAGTTTTGGGAGAAATTTGCCTCCGTGGAGGACTTTTTGATGTAACTAACCATAATTTAAAAAACCACGAAAATCTCCCATGGTTAGACTGACGGCAGGGGGACTGTAACCCATGATCGTCCATCACCGAGGATATTTTTCGTTAGCACTGTGATCAATGAGAGCCGGGTGCGGAATTTGTATCGCCAGGCATCGCTAATAATCGAACACGGGACACCTCATTGGGAGGCGAGAGCTCTATCTCATGAGCAACCTGACCTCTATGTCTATATTTTAACTTTAGCTCGTTAGCTTTCCAAAATCCTTTTAATTTTTAAACTCTAATTCTTAGAAATGAAGTTTTAGTTGCTTTTTTTCATATGCCGAAAAACAAAGTATTTTATTAAAATCTTTCTTGTTACTTCGCGAAACAAACGTATTTCATAAAGTTTCTTTTGAACAATGTGACAAAATTCTTCTTAAATATCGTAGAATTTTTATCTTTAATATCAGCTTCGAGATTACAAATTTTGAAGAATATTCGCAAAAACAAAAGATAGCTAACTCAAAGATGATCGCTCGCGGATTAGTTTATCAAATAAAAATAAAACTTGATGAAATGTACAGAAACAATTCGTAAAATTTGCAAGCATGTTTATGACATTTTTTTAGAGTAAAATGAAACATTTGCAATAAATCAGCTGAAGTCATAGTATCTCAGGGGAAAGAGCACTCACCTCCCAATTAGGTGACCCGGGTTCGAATCCCAGCTACGTCACGCCGTTGAGAATTCCGCACCCTACTCGCACCGACTACTACATTGACGCAAAATATTCTTAGTGGTAGGCGGATCATGAATTTGAGTCCCCTTGCTTTCAGGCTAACTGTGGGAGGTTTTCGTAGTCTTCCACACCATGTTACACAAATGCGGGTTAGTTCCCTCAAAAAGTCATCCACGCAAGCAAATTTCTTCTGGGTTCATCGGTAGTCGTAAACTCAAAATTTGGTCGGCTGTTTAATGACGGTAATAAAATATAATAACATAAATCTGCTGAAAAGTTGCACAGATAAAATTTTATTATAAAGCCAAGATATAGGGATTTTTCATGGCTGTAACTTTTTTAATAAAATTACTGTACCTGATTTTAAATTTTTTTTTGTAAAATTGCATTGTAACCTATTTAGCGGATATTTTTCTCATACAAAGTTTGCACTCAAAAAGTTATGTAGTCATTAAATTATCCATTAATTTGTATGTAGCCTATTGTATGTGGTATTAATTTCTTTTATTTACTGAGGTTACGCCCTCCCTTTAAATTTTATGGCCTAGCATCCCCCCTTTAAATTTTATGGCAAAAAGTTTTTATTTCTACCAGGCATTACCGTTACTACAGGTTTATACTCATATGATGAAACAGCAGCAGTAGAATAAAGTGTCAATTTAAGTACTATTATTTTACTGAGTTAGAAAACAAATGACAATAAAAAAACTGTGAATCTGATTGTCATAAAATGTTAAATTAATCATTGATCGATTGACATGAAACTGTATACATCACATCTGATTTTTTTTATCGAATCTTTTCGTGAAAAATTGCATGAAATGCTTTTTCTAGTTTATGAAATTTAGGAAAACAAATATTTAAAAAATACTATGCCTCGTAATGATATAGATTCTTGTGCAGGTATAGATTCTTTGATAATTTCATGATGGGACTAAAACTCCTTTTTAAGTAATTACGTTCAATTCTCCTACTACTTAGTACTAGCAACTTTAGCCAACTAAGATTTGACTTTTGAAATGCATCTAATAAGAAGAGTTTTGCTGCAAATCTTGTTTCTTTCTTGTGCAATTCAACGCATTTTAAGTATATATTGAATTTTAGTTTCTGACATAAATTTATAAGAAACCCAAAAATGCAGTTCAGAAAAAAGTAACCCCAATATTTTAATAACTTCATTAGTCTTTATAAACTGGTTTGTTAATTCATGACAAACAGTATTAAAAAATCCAGGCATTCAAACTGGAGTACTAGTATGAAAAGAACTAGAATAAATGCCTGTAAAAATGGAATTTTGTTGAAAATCTTGTCGTTTCTCGTGCAGATTAGCGTATTTTAAGTAAATATTTAATTTTAATTTTTAAAATAATAAAAAATATAAGAATGCATTTTAAAGAGTTGTCTGATGTTTTAATAAGAAATAATAATATAATTTATAAATTTGGTGAAAGTCGTGACAAACAGTAATAAAAATCCAAGTATTCTTCGAACAGGAGAACTAGAATGAAAGGAATTAGAATTAATGCAAGGAAAATATAATTTTATTGCGAATCTTGTTTCTCGTGCCAGTTAACGTATTTCAAGTAAATATTTAATTTTCATTTTTGAAATAATTTAATAAAAAATTAGATTTCAATAAAAAGGGTCGCCCAATTTTTAATAAATTCTTTTAGTGTTTATAAATTTGATTGGTTACGTCATAAAACAGTATTTAAAAAATCTGAATATTCAAACTGGAGTACTATTATAGTGAGTTCACAGAAAAGATAGACCAAATGTAAACAAATAGGTTACTAGGTCAGTTGTCTTGGTCAGTTTTGTCACTTTTAAGGATTTTGTCTAGCATTTTTTTCCCACAGAATTATGCTAAAAAGATATTACAGATGAAATCGTTCTGTTTGTCTGTCTGAATTATTATTTCAAATGCAACGAAACTACATTTCTTAATTAACTAAATGCAATTAAACATTAAATTAATATTTTTAAGTGTTCAAATGGTTGTAAACCACTCGCAAACTGATTCACTTTATATTATTATGCCTGCTAATAAGACTATGATACAAAAAAATGAAATGGTAGTGTAAAATCCAACCATAAATTTTAACATAGCTAACAATTACCAATTTTTTAATAAACGCAAATAATGGATTTTTAATTAAAAAAATTAAAGCATAAAAATAAGTTAAAGTGCTTATTTTAATCGCTGATTGAACTTGACAAATCACCGTTTTTTTTAAAATTTAAATCTAGTCTATCTTTCCGCTGAACGGACTATAGAATCAAAAGGTTTTACTACATTCTAAATAACGAATTAAATTAGATTTAGAATATCTTTTACAGCACCTTTAAATATCTGTATTGAATAAAGCGAGTTCTGTTAAATAATTCGGAAATATATTGTGTTCTTTTAGGCTCTGGGCATAAGAAGAGGCAATAAAACTTCTTGTAAAACGAAAGAATGTCATTTTATTACAAATTCATTTTTGATTCATGATTAATGAAGTTCTGAAGAACCCAAATTGAATTTTGTGTTCTTTTTTAATACCCTTCATTAACTGACTTCGTTTCATTTTCTTGTTTTATTATGGGGACGCCTATATTATTTGGTTGCATTACCTAACCGTTGATCTTTAGGCACACCTTAAAATTTCTTTCCATCAGCGAGACTCTTCTAACCGAAAGTCTAATTTGCAATAACACTACGACATTAAACTTCATCGCAATCTTTTTCAATTTTGGTTTTTTATTCGTAATGCATCTTAGAACAGCACTTAGGACGAATTTTTCACAGATTAACTACTTTTCTATTGCCTCGCTTTTGCGTCAGTGAGGGTGGAATATTGCAATCGAAATTCCATTTAACCAATATTCTACCATTTCCTAATAAAGCATTCAAGTCTTTACCTAAGCTCTGTGCAAGATGCCAGTTTTTGACTAGTATCTGGAAAAAAAACTTTAGCGCTATTTTCACATGCGGAGTGTTTATTGTCAGAGCCTGTTAGATAAAATTTATTTTGTTATTGTGTCAGAGCAAATTCCGTCCAATCAAAGAAAGAGTTCTGTTCAAAGGACTTTTTATTAATTTAATAATAACTCTGTTTAATAAAATTTATTTTATTAGGCCAAAGCAAATTTCGTCCAATCACAGCACGGGTTATGTTTATGACTTATGATTATGACTTATTATGTATTTTTTTTCTGTTTTGTTAATCGTGGCGGCCACGGTTGCGTGGGATCACGTTTTCTTCGTATGAAGAATTTTTAGTACTTCTGATTAAGTTTTTCTCAAAAATAATTAAGGAGTATTAGTAAATGAAAAACTGTCGTTTATTGTTTTTAACTGTTGGAATGATCAATGGGATGCGAGTACTATTGCCCAGCTTACTTGTCCAGTACTGTACTTGTACAGTATATCTTACGCAGTATATTCTGCACTATTGGTATTAAGGTTAAGTGCTACTGCCGAGTTTACCCTACCCCGACTTAAAGTTAAGCGTTCTGATTAATTCCTGTACAGTGGCGCTGTTGTCAAAAGTCGACAGCTCGGTGGAATAGCCACTGCATTTAGCAAAACGGAAATTTTTTTTTTTCACAAACTTTCAAATTTTTTCTCTTACTTTTAGTCGTCCAAACTTGTAATATTGCAGCATTACCTGAAATGCCTCCTATAATAATAAAAAAAGCATTGCATATCGCATGTACTAAATTTTCTATATTATAAAACAACAAAGCGTAATGTTTTCATTATGTTTCGGTTTCTAGACTACCAAACATTTTTGATGTTCAATCAGTTGAATGTCATCGAGATTTGTCTTGTTTATTATTTTTCTATAAAATTTTAAAAAATTTGATTTCTCTGACATTTTAAATAAGAATCAGTTTTTTTAAGGACTTATAATGTATGAAATGAAAAAAAAAACATGCAAGCTCATTTATTAAGTATAATTATATAAAAAAATGTCTTTATACAGATTTTGCAACATTCTTTATTCAGCAAGCTTAAGACCTTGATATTTTTGATAAGCGTTTTATTGTTTTTAAAAATTCATGTTTAAATGCTTTATTTTTAAAATGACGTTCTTTTTTTATTTATTTCTCAGCAGTGCGACTGGATTTTTTAGCTGTAACCTGTATTTCATCGTTAAAATTAAAAAAGGAAAATTTAATGCTCAGGGAAATATTTGAAAACCAGATTAGATTAATTTAAATAGTTATTTTTACAAGGGAATATGATAAGATATAAATATTTCATAGAGCTTTATTCAGTGGTTATAATTCTTGCTTCAATAAATATTTTGTGACATAGTAAAAGCCGAGTTATATATATCAAGAAACATTCTACTCCAGCGCTTTTCTATAACGACATATTTCGAATCCCAATAACAGAGGTTACATCAGCGAGTTAATGCATGTTTGGGTTTTCAATCAATATACGATCAGATAGAATGTCAATTTATAGTTGAAATTCCATTTCCGTAAAGTAACGCTTTATACCTTAATTAAATTTCGTATTGTTAATTCTTAATTAAATTTCGTATTGTTAATTCTTAATAAAATTAAGTATTGTATTTGAATATGTTAGATATCTACAGAACTTTTTTTCTCCTTATCATCAGATAATGTAAACAAAGTGAAATTTCAAAACAGGTATATTTTGTGTTATGTAAATAAAATCAATCATACTTCACGCCAATATTACTTAACAGTGTTGCGTAAAGTATAATGCAATTGTATGAAAAAGAAATTGTGCTCGAAATTATTAGTTACTGAGAAAATTATAGATAAAAAATGAATTTTTAAAAATTCCATTGAGTTTTTCTTCAGCTTCTTTTACAATATTCCATAATATTAAATGTATAAGGATTGTTCATATGAAAAGTGGACACGTGCGATTGATTCGAAAAGAACTGTAACTATCGAATTGGGATATAGATGGCGGCAGGAGTTACGAACTGCCCACGGCGTTTAAGCGTGAAAGCTGTTTGTGGTAGAAAAAATTAATTGAAATACAGTCATGCTTTACATGGATGCTTCCAGATCACAAAAAAGCGCGGCAGTACGGTTTCTGATTGTGGAACGTAATGTGTACATCTATCGGAAACTACGTCATATGGGAAACTACAGAAAGCAATCAAAAGCAACCAGATCTTCCTACAAACAAGTAATCCTTTTTCATTACAATGCCCGGTCACACGGCTCCCTTGAAACCTACCCGAGAGTACAAAACTTCCTTTTGGAAGTGTTGGAACACCCACAGTACAGCCTGGATTTGTCACCCGGTGACTTCCAGATCTTTGGTTCACTTAAGAGAGCGTGACACGTTTCCATTTTTGCAACCAAGTGAAGGAAACTGTGCAGGGCATCATCCAGAATCAACTGCAATCTTTCTACAGCAAAGGCACCTGTTACCTAAACAATGGAACTTTTGCTACTATGTCCATGGCAATTTCTTTTGATTTCCCATTTCTTTCGTATTATTCGTTCGTTCAACTAGTCCACTTTTCATTTGGGAAACTCGTATATTTTGTAAAAGTCTTCATGTCAAGACTGTTTTTCGAAGGATCTGTCGTAATATGAAATGCTATTTTGCGAATAATGTGCTATTTTTGCAACTGCTGTGAGTTTGCAACTGTTAATTATGACTGTTAGGTCAAGTTTTGCCAATCTGAAGCAAAAGCGCTGTGTTCTTATTTTGAAAATAGTGCCAATCGTCAATATGGAGAAGAGTCACAGTTTTGTGAAAATGAGAAGCGTTTTTGGTCTAATTTTTTAACTTTTAAAAACTTACTCTAATTCTGAATTACATGGGTGAATAAAAATTCGCAAAAACTGAGAATTAGACAATGACTTTGATAACTTCAATCTAGATGGAAAAATGTCACCAAATTGGCAATTTTTAAAAAAGTTTAATAACTTTTAAAATATTTAAGCAATTTGTCTGTTTTAAAGCCCAAATAATTCTTCATTTGAGAAGTAAATTTCTCAAAAGTCAAAATACAAACTTGTTAAATGCATGAAAATTGATATGCATATTATTTTATATCTTATTTTGTTGCTCCACTCAGAAACAATTTTTTTTTTCTGAAATTTTTAATGTTATTTTATATGCGAATTAATGCATGCTCACTTATTGTAAAAGTAAATATACTTTTTTTTTGCAGGTCGTTGTGAGTCGTGTCAGAGGATTCGTAATCAACTGAAGCATTTTTGTTCTAGCGATTTTGGTAAGAACTTCAACAATTTCTCACAATTCATAAAATTGTGGTGAATTAGCCAGTATATGCAATTTTATTGAAAACTCATCTGATTTAAAAATTTGTTTCCTTTATGGAATATTTTATTTTTAAAATCTTTTTGCAAAGTTTGAAAATAATTTTCAAATGTTATAGGCTTTCATTGTTAACCAATCAAGAGCATAATAATATTTTCACACGCATAATTGGTAAATGAATACAGGAAAAATACAGAAATAAAAATCAATAAATTTTTTGACGAGGGAAGGGCATATTTTACCACTTTGCACAACTGCGAACTTAAGTATCAGTGAATGTTATACATACATTTGTATATATGCAAAGATAAAAAGTGAAAGTATGAATACTGTTGATTATTGTCAAGAACATCATGTTAATAATTTTTTTAATCAAATCAGAATTTAAATCACATTTATGCTTATAAATAATTTTATTAATGCCATTTAAAATCTACCATTTTCTCACATTTTTTTAAATAAAAAAGCATAATTCTAATATTTTTATGTAAAATCTGTTTCAATCATTTAATTTAAAATAAAATATTTTGCTACTAATCGTTTATCTGAATTCAATCTTTGTTAAAAGCTTTTATTCAAATTACCTGTTCCTATTACCTGTTTACGAAAAAATTGTACTAAATAAGAATAAGGAGTTCGCACATTTTTTTACTTGAACCTCATTTTCTATAAGCCTATTTAATTCTTCAGCACATTTTTTTGTGAACGTGCCTGTATTCTGTTAAAAATTGTTTTTTCAAAAATATTGCATAAAAAAATTATAATGAAATCTTTCGAAAGTTTAAAAAATTGACTTGTTTAGGATAAAACTTTTGTAAACAATATAGCATTAGAGCAGCAGTAAAATATCGATTTTTTATGTTGTTAAAAGCCTCTTTTATAAAAGATTTTATTACTTAGATATTTCATGTTCTAAAAGTCAGTGCTTAGATGTTAAAAATTTCATAAATTTGAATGATAAAAAACCTAAAAGTAAATTAAACTGTTAAAGCATTCTGAATTATTTTTACGTTAGATCAAATTAGTTTTTAAAGCGAGATAATAATGTATGTTAGAAGCATATTTTTCAAATGTTCATATCTGTTTGACACTTAAATAATTAAAAAATATTTATATGCAGAAACTGCTACACAAATCAAATCAAGAAGTAGATTTTTTTTCTTCGCAAAAAAAATTGTTCAGAATGTGTTAAAAAATATCAAAAGGTTTTTTAACTAAATTAAATCGAGGTTTTTCTATCTTTAAACGTAAAAGAAGTGTCGTAACAAAAAATAATGATTCAGACGATTTTTTGACAATGAAATTAATTTCTTACCTTTCACAAGTAGCTGTGTTTTTTTAATTCAAAAGGAAAGGTGAAATTACTCCATCCTCTTCTCTTCGTTGACTATGAAAAAAGAACTTTTTTTTCATAAAAACTCAATTAAAACTTTTCAATTCGCAAAATGTTGCAGTAAATGCATTATCAAAAATATAAAGATACGAAAAAATACTATTTCTTTTTGAGTCTTTTAATTGAAAAACTTTGATTAAAATTTCTTTGCATATTTTGTTTGTTCTATATTCCATATTTAGTTAAGTCTCAAATTTTCTTTAAGCACATATTTAATTATATGATTTCGATTGAATTTTATTCAGCACTGCTTCATTTCAGTTTAAAACATCTAGTTTCAGTCATAGATTTTTTTATAATTTAATCAATTAGTTAATAGTAATAATAATGAATAATACTATTGATATTAATTAATACAATGAATAATGATATCGAATAATACATAATATAATGCAATGTATATATACTATAATACAATGCATTATAAATAGTAGTATATCAATGTTAAAAGTAGTAAAACTGCCTATGCTTTTGTTATATGCTATTACTATAATGCCTTTACTCTATTAAAGCTATTTAATATTCGCTGGTTTTTAAAGTTTAAATTAATGGTTATTTAAATTATTCTCAACATTAATTAATAATGACATTTGCTTCATAATCGATTGCGAAAACTAAAACTTTGACTTAAAAACTTTAGACTTGTTTAAATTCAAGTTTAAATTTAAAAAAAATGTTTTAACTTTACTTCTGTTGTTCTGATGTTTACTTCTTAATGTTAATTTCACTCTTTGAGTATTCCACCATTTTTTCGGAACTAATAAAATGAATCAAAAAAGTTTTACACATAATTATAAAACTTGTTTATCCAAAGATAATTCAAAGTAAAAATATTTTATGTATTTATTTATAATTTTTTTTATTTAACTTTCTAATGATTAAAAAAAAATATTTGAATTCTAAAGCATTATTCTAAGCTGTATTCTACATTATTTTAAGTGACTTTTAGATTCCCTTTACTGTTTAGCAACATTGTTTTTAGCCAAACACCTGACCCTTTCTTTATTATTGTGCATAAATTCTTTAATTATAGTTGTTAAAAAATTTATTAACCCTTCTTCTGTGGTTACGTTAACCTTTCATTTTTGTAGATAATATTTGCTTTCCTAGGATTTAGTGACTATTTAAGGAACAGGTCATACTCTTAAAGTCAGCAGTTGGAGCTAATCACTCATATTTCTGTCTGTGATACTTCATTAACTTTGTGAAAAAAAGCAAAAAAAAAGTGTTCTCTAAATGAGGCATTCATGTATTAATTCAATACGCCAGTTTTATACATTTTCCTATTATATCAGAGTTCCAGTTATTTCAATATTAACTTACGTGCCTGACTGTTTTTGAGTAACATTTTCTAATATTAGCGTGATTTCCAAACTTATTCACTGAAGAAAATTTAGCTACTTTTCACTGAATCAAACTCACTGAAATAATTTTTGACTAAATGAAGTTTTGTAACGCATTCGTGCATTAATTTAATACACTAGTCTTATACACATTTCTTATTATGTCAGAATTCCAATTAAAAAACATTTCAACCCTAACTTATGTTAACAGACTGTTTTTCAAATAACATTTAAACATTTTCTAATATCTAGCGTGATTTTTAGACTTGTTCATTGGAGAAAATTAATCTACTTTTGAGGGAACCATACTTCCCAAGAGATGCATTGAAACTTCTTCAAATCATAAATAAAATTCACGACCAATTAGTTGGTTAATGATGCTCTCACAAGTTTTCAGACATGTATGTTTTTGAGCATCGAGAATTAATAACACGTCTCGAAAACCAGGTGTATCAAGCCACTTATCTGGCTTTTAGTCAATTAAATACTGACCTTGCTTAGCTAATTCTGGCTTGATTTTTCTCTGTCTCATAAAAATGACCGCAGGGTTTATCATCTCAGTCAAGTCGTCCAGGGTGGTCAACGATCCGTTAATACGCTAAGACCAGACGAATAAGGAAGTGATGTATAGGAAAAAGTATTTTTTATTTTAATATAAATTGGTTTAAAAATTAAGTGTTTTTGGCGAATTGATTCTGCATGTTTTAGTTATTGTTTCCTAAAAAGTCTGAAAATATTTAGATTTACATTTTATTCTTAAGAAAAGTCATTTGAATTTTTTCTCCCATTGTTAAATATAAATGAATCAAAGTTAAAGTAAAATTTAACAATCTAGCAAAAGGGAGTACTTTAAAAATTTTTTTTAATTCAGTTAGCTTTGATTTAAATACATTAAATTATTTGAACTAGCTATGGATATTATACTCTATTTCTTTCTAATATGGTTTATTATCACAGAATTAATATTATAATTTCTAAGCAGAAAACGCTTAAACAGACAGAAATTATCTGTCCAGACAGAAACTATCTCGTTAGTAACAAAAAAGATAATATAAATTTTCACAATGAACATTTAGTTCAAACACAATTTGAAACATTAACTTTTGAAAGTATGATTTGTTACGCATCTGCATATTTTAATCAATGTATTTTTTTAGAGTATTTATGGTTTTACAAATGTAAGCTACAAAGCAGAACTTGATATTAGCACAAAATGGTAAAAAATAACAGTTTGTGTGATTTCTTATATATTTGACCTAATTAGAAAACAACCTTTGCAAGAATAGAAAATAGAAAAATTATTTCTTTAAAAATATGAAACTCCTTCTAAAGAGTGCTTTAGAATTGGAAGAAAAGTTCTGAATTTACGAGATTCTGTGAGTAAAGTTTGTAACTAACTATTACTGGAGTCTAAGCCCAGAAAGTCGTTAAAGATTGGTCATGCTCAAATGGGATATCGGCATTGACACTTTTGTTGATTTTTGGAGTACATAAATCTGCCGATCCAATAGAGTGGTAGTTCCTGTGTACCGGTGAAGTAGACTGTGTCGATTCTACCAATCCAATTCAAGTTTGAAAAAGGAAATCAGAAGTGATAAGTTGTAATAGAGGTTTGCTTTTGATAAAAATGAATCGCAATGTTATCGAGGACTATTTGAAGCCTTGGATGAGAATGTGTAATTCTCATCCAAGGCTTCTCATCCTGCATTCTCATCCCGCGTACTGACTCATGCGGAAATGGACAGATGAACGATGCTTATCGTGTTGCACAAGCAGTAAAGATCTTTTGGGATGGAGGTCTTGGCAGGTGTTAAAATATACTCCGAACTTACCTGGCATAACTCCTTGATATTAGAAACTCTTTCCTAAGCTGAAGGAACTTCTTCAAGATATTAGATTTCGTGATTTGAGTAGTTAGATACTTTGCCACTTATTTCAACTAACAACTCCTTATATCAAACATCCTACAACTTTCTGAGATCTGGCGAAAGGTACAAGGTTTTCCTGGTGACAGTATAAAAAATATGTAATTTTGCTTGCATCTCCATAACAATATGCTTTTCAGGTATGTTAGTAGTTTATTTAGAACTCTCGTATAATACTAGTTCATGCAGCATGCCTGTGTTCCCATGTATAGTAATGATACCATATTTATCCAACACCTAAGAGAGAGAACCCCTTCACACGTATTAATTTAGTAGTCCGACGTTACGAAAATAAGTTGCGCAATGGATGAAAGAATAAGACTACTTAATTGCACAGAAATATAAGAAAAATGTCCCAACGTTCAGACTACGAAAGAATCAGATTTCTTGTTTGTGGTAGCCAGTGCGGAGGTTTTCTCTTTTCCCTGATGTGTTGATTTATCACGCGTAGTAGCGATTCAATAAATTCCGCTCCCAACTGCTCCAAAACAAAAACAAGAAAAGCCCAATCATGTTTGAATTATTATATTTATATGATTTTTAAATCAAGTTTAGTCTTTTTTTTAACTTGTAAGTATTTCATATAGTACACGATTTGAATATTGTTCTTGTTACTTTCGTCATTAATATTGTTCATATATTCTTTTGCAGTAATCAGAGCTCAAGTTCTTGGCTATGAGTTTTTGAACGGGGAAACAAGATACGAGCTAGACGTGCTTCAGTCTTACAAGAACAAATTTTCGATGTTACCTAAGGAATACGTTTGGTCTGCCGACACATGTCGATGTCCTAAACTACGCCAAGGAAAAGAATACGTCATAATGGGCATGTCGGACAGCACTTACAAGAAACGTGAAAGCAGGCTTTTAGTAGACAAAAACTCATTTGTCCGAACATTTAATTTGAAATATGCTCGCCGACTTCAAAAACTAAGAAAAGATGAAGCCAAGAAATGCAAAAAAGAATCTTAGCAGAAAAATAATCAGTTTGTTCCTTATTTGAGTCATTAAGCATGCAGAAATTGTTATTTATCAAGCGAATATTAACTTTGGCGTCGAAAGAATAAAGTAAAGTAGCGCCAGGATGCCCTGCTTTCAAAACGCTATGCCAAGGATTTAGAACAAAAGATGCGAAACGAGCCAAGCTTCTCTGCTTGGTCACGAACTGAAAATATGGAGTTTGAAAATTATCTGGTTTTTTTCTAAACCTGGTTCGAGAATATATAAAGAAACGGGAATTGAATAGAAAGTGTTTTAAAACTTGAATTTTGTGATTGCGCAAGTGCCATTGTTGTCTAGTTTGAAATTTGTGATAAAACTGAGAAAGAATACTTTTTGTGCGCTGACTTATTAAGAGGAAACCTATTTCCGAATTGATATTTTCCGTCAAATAAATGTTGAGTGTGGGCAATGTTTTATTCTAAATATTGTAGACTCTCGTGAAATAATAATTAGTTAAAAAATCGTTCACTCATATTATTGTGTAAGTCAGTGTATGAAGTTAGTCTTAAACGTTGCCAAGTTTTTGTGTTGACGCAGATGCAAAAAAAAGTTAAAGCATTCTGGTTAGAGATGGGTAAAACAAATCGTTAGGTTAATTGTTTCGTGTCATAATTTTCATCTGTCAAACAAATTGAATCCATTCGAATCAGTCACACCAATCCTGAATTAAGTCTATAGCATGAATTTAAACATTGATTCGTATAACAATTTTTACAGCAAAACGATTATAATCAGAATTTTGTCCTAATATGAATATGTCTTAAAAGGAATATCGAAAACATTGATTCAAAATCCTACCCATCTCTAATTAAGTCACAAATAAAAGATTAAAATGCAATGTAGTTCGATGTTAATGATTTAATTCTGTTTGTTGATTCAAATTATAAATGGAAAAAGTGATTCAAATTGAATCACTAATTCAGTGCATTTTATTACTGCACATTAATTCGAAAATCTGATTCGAATAAACACATTTGAATATTTACTTTTTTAATTCATATAAGTGTCTCAGTGTCTCAACTGTAAAACGGAGTAAATTAAAATAAAAATACTTTGTATGTAGCATTTTTACATCAGTACGACTTATATCGTAATCATGACTGTCATATATTTTAAACCTCTATTTGTTAAATTATATTGATATTCTATAAATAACACTGCCAGTTTAACAATGTTCTTTTATTTATATATTGCTTTCGACTACATATTAAAAGACCAATGCATTTTTATGTTTATAGGGCTTTTGTGAATTATCAGATGCTATTTATTCCTTAAAAACATAGCGTTATTTTATTAAGAATATTCTTCATAAATTTTTTTATACTTAATCATTAGAAAGAAAATAAGTTGATAAATACTTATTCTCATAGTTGAAGGTCATGCTCCTTGTTTAGGAAACTCAATTAAAAATTTAACTCAGTCCGCATTTAGTTTAATTTCAACGCTATATTAAAATTGAAAACCTCTTTTTAGCCAAAAGCAATAATCATCAAATATACTTTACAACCCAATCACCTACTTACACGTTAAAGTTGTCTTTCTATAACTCATTATAATCGGGTATCACCAAAACAGCCAACGTAATGAAAAATCAATTAAAAGAAAACAAAAATAAATTAAAGTTTACGGTTTCTGCTTAGGAAACTAAAAAGTTTGTTTTAAGTAAGTTTTTAAATGAGTTAAAGTTTATCAACAGTTGTCTCTACTATATGGTAAAAGTTTAAAACAATCTTTTATAGCTATTTGTCAGATCAAGTTAATTATTCAAAGTTAAAAAACGAAGATCACGACTTGTTATTATTTTGCCAAAATCATTATTCTATATAAATCATAATTTCGTGTTATATCAAAAAGAACTTTTTTCTTGCAAGTTTGTAAGTAAAATTAAGTGATAATATTTAGAAAAATATTATTTAAAATATTTATAGTCCTACTAAAATTTAAAATTGTTATCATTGATTCCTATTACTATCGAAATATATAAAAAAGTAAGCTTTATTTAGAGCTCTAATAACGAAATTATCAAAAACTAATAAAAAAATCAATTTAAATAACTTTTAAAACTCCTTATTAAAATTAGAAAGAACATAAACAGGGAACGCATAATTTTATAATCTATTTGGACAATCCTTATTTATATCAATTTCAAGATTTGGTACACTTAACGAAGTTTCAGGTATAGATTCAGGTTGTTTCCTTTATTAAAATATTAATGTGAAATAATAGTAATATTTTAGTATTTGATAAATTACTGAATAAAGTAATGTCAATGTTGAAACAGAACATTTTTTAAATTTCTTTCTAAACATTCTCCAATTCACAAAGCAAAATAAATAAAAAAAAATCAACCTAACAGTTATTTTTGTTTAAGCATTCGCATTTTGTAAACATTCTGATAAAAAAATTTTTGCAATTCATGTTTAATTAAATGTTATATTCGATAATTCGGCTATAAGAAAAAAATAATTTATGTAATTCTGACAATAACTATCGTTTTGCTCGAGAGAGCACTAATTCTTTGCTCAAGTTTTTAATTTGCAAAAAATAAATACCAAAAGTAATACACTCTATGGTGGTAAAAATTATTTCCCCTGCAGATTTTTATCCCAGCTAAATTCTTTAAATGAAGATCTATTGATTTTAAACAAGTATGCTTAATATATAAAATGTTTCTTCTATACCTTTGAATGTTATTAAAAGTGCTCATATTTTCTTTTATAAGTATTAATTAAGTACACTATTTTAATAAATAGTCTTTTCACCTTTAGTTATAAGTATTAAAGTGTCCGTTCAATTAATAGAGTATTTAAAATATTTTTTCTTTCTGAAACTTTATTTAAATCCTAAATAAATATAAAGTCTTAATATATTGAAAATTAAAATACATCTGTCCTTTATTTCTCGAAAAAAGGAAAAGAAGTAGTGTGTTAACAAATACTCCAATAGCGATAACGAAAAGAATTTTCTGTTATTGTATTATTTAAGGCTTATAACAAATTCGTTAATATAATATTCTTCGCAGCGATATTTGATTATCCTTAGGGTATTTGATTACTTACACGAGTCATTTTAAAATTTAATTAATTTTAATGAGTAATTAGGAATTTTGAATGCAATTTATACAATATTTGAGATTAACTACTTTTTTACATTTTACTTAAAGTAATGTTTGTATTTTTTTTAAATTAGGATTTTACTTAGTATGTAATACATATTATTAAAAATCAGAAATTTTCAAACTTATAGTAAATAAAAATTTTAAAAACGCAAAATTATAAGTTGAATTTTTGAAGGTGATTTTATAAAAATTATATAATAAACTAGGAAGTTAAAATTTTTACTGCATTTGGCTCAAATTTTCCGAAATTTTTCCTGGTAAGTAAAATATATTTCTATAAACTTATAAACCCCAAAAATTTATTCAGTAAATTCTCCATTAAATTTGCCTTCTCAAAATAATAATCTATTAGTTGATTTTTTGTCAATTCATCAAATTTGCATTTGCAAAGCAAAAATATTTTCATTTTTTTGAACTGAAACAAAAATAATATGGCATTATTCTGTTTTATTTTAATATTTTCTTATTTATTGAAAGAGTTTTCTTTTGTATTGAAAGAATTCACTGTGTAATTAAGTGTTCTTGTGTTGATTGAAAAATTTTATTGTGTTTATTTTAAGATTTCTTTTTACAAATATATCTCATTTCAGATTTATTGTAATCAATAACTCATTTTATTTTTTAACTGCCAATGCACGTATTGTTCAAGATTAAATATTGTTGAAAGTTTACAGGCACTTCAATACACGAAACTGAATCTAACTTAGAAACAGTTTCACAATGTTAATTCGGCAATTTTTTTCAGTTCATTTATTGTTAGCTTTGTATATACATGTACGAGCAACAAGATGTTTATGTACATAAAACGCAATAAATTGTCAATAAAGATTTACTTAACAAATGAATTTCGTTTTTTCCTGTCAACTAATAATGAAGTTGAAATATATTTTAGGTATAATACAGGACAAAGAATGGAATAAAATGATTAATGAAGGTATTATAAAGTATGCTTTAAAAATACTGTTAGAAACTATTACTGTGGCAGAATTTCTAACTTTTCAAATGACAACACCTATTTCGTCAAAAGTTGTTAGTGAAAAGGGGCCGAATGGCATATCCCGCCAAACGCTCTGAAATATGGAGGCAGCGGGATCGAAGTCGTAACCCTGGATGTATATTCTCTGAATTTTACAAGTTTTTCTACTAGACAAAAGAATATAAGCCTTACTTATGTAATTAATCACACAAGCGTGCATGTATGTGTACCAAAAGTAAGACTGAAAAAAAAAGTTAAATGAAGATCATGGCAAATTTTCAGAAATATACCGTGTTGTGAACTCTGAGACAATAGTAAAACAACACATCGTGCATTATTTAACAATTATTTACACTGGAATAGTTTACTTTAAAAAAAAAAAGCAAAAGTTACTATTAACCTTTTTGAAGTATATACATATAATTGTTAGAAATTCTAAGAGAAAACTTATACAACTTACCGCTTCTATTTATAGTTATTTTTATATAGGTGTATTATTTTTTNTCCTGCCAAATTCGATCCAATTGTCGAACGAGGTCATCAACATTCCGTGCCAGATGCAATCACCTTCCCATCATATCCCAGTCATGCTCGATGGGAGAGAGATCTGGTGATCTCGCAGGTCAAGGAAGAGTTTGACAAGCTTGCAGACAGTTCATAGCAACACGTGCCGTATGTGGTCTGGCATTATTCTGCTGAAAACCAGCCCCGGTCATTGCCAAAGGAACGGTAGCAAAGCAGGTCTTAGGATGTCGTCAACGTACCGCTGTGCAGTAAGTGCACCTCTAATGACAACCAAATGGGTCCGGCTGTCAAAGGAAATGGCACCCCAGACCATAATGTCTTGTTGAGGGCCGGTGTGGCATGCGATAGTGAAGGCAGGATCCCCCCTCTGCCCTGTGCGTCTCCAAATACGTCCTCGATGATCGTCAGGACGCAGTTGAAAGCGGGATTCGTCGCTAAGGACTATACGTCCACAGTCGGCATCATTCCAGCCATATCTATTCAAAACATTTATGCATACGAAATTTCAAAGCAATCAGATGATTGCTTCTTGGTGCGTCGATGCTTTTGTTATAGAGTGTATATTTTAGGTATAATACAGGATAAAGAGTGGAATAAAATGATTAATGAAGGTATTGTAAAGTATGCTTTAAAAATACTGTAAGAAACTATTACTGTGGCAGAATTTCGAAATTTTCAAATGACAACACCTATTTCGCCAAAAGTTTATAGTGAAAAAGAGCCTCCCTGTCCGAATAGCATCGCCCGCCAAACGCTCTGAAATATGTAGCGGGATCGAAGTCTAGCGGGATAAGTAGCGGGATCGAAGTCGTAACCCCGGGATATATATTCTCTGAATTTTGTAAGTTTTTCTACTTGACAAAAGAATATAAGCCGTACTTATGTAATTGAGCACACAAGCGTGCATGCGTGTGTACCAAAACTGAAAGAAAATTAAAATAAAGATCATGGCTAAATTTCAGAAATATACCGTGTTGTCAACTCCGAGATAATAGTAAAAAACACATTGTGCATTATTTAATAATTATTTATACTGGAATGGTTTACTTTTAAAAAAAAAGCAAAAGTTACTATTAACCTTTTTGAAGTACTATATACATATAATTGTTAGAAATTCTAAGAGAAAATTAATACGACTTACCGCTATTATTTATAATTATTTTTATATAGGTGAATTATTTTTAAAAAAATCACCATTTTAGCATTTTTTGAAAGTATATAATTTAATATCGTTAAAAAATCTGAAGATAATAGCAACCCAACAAACAGTATATATATATACAGGGTTATTCATAATTCCCTCCGGGGTTTCGAAGTGTTATAGTAAAAAAACGACGACGAATACGGCAAAAAAGAACAAATGAAATTATTTGGAAAGTATTCAAGTTTTAATTTAAGCAGTTGCCGGTAGATGGCAGTAACATGTACCACTGAAGCCAGTTGTAGTAAAGAAAAATGGCGATTACAGGCGGAGGGAATTATGAATAACCCTGTATATACACACACACTGCAGCATGTAATGGAGCATTATGATGGAGTTTTCTATCTTTTCTCAAGACAGAGGTGGAAATAATTTTAATACTTCGGCTGCAACTCAGCTGTACTTAAATGTCCCTAACACATATTTATGATGATTTTTGCGATTTAATAGCTGCCGGACAGGTTTAAAATTACTGGTAAAATTCAATACATAAGGAGTTTTGACATTATTACATGGTTTGAAAATCAATAATGTCAATGTTGAAAATCAACAATGTCTACAGTTATACGATGAAAAAATTTGGTTATTGTATTGTTTAAAAGTAATTATGGAGTTTAAATTGGAGGGGGGATTGCGGAATTAGATACTTAAATACAGTTGTGCTGTACATTCGGCTTGATTATCATTAAAGTTTGCATGTTGTGCAAGATAATTTTGAAGGATGGTCTAGCTGGTCACCAAAGGCTGCTAGTTATTAAATTTTTTTGCTTAGACTGTTGTGGCTACGTTTATTGCCCTTGCGAATTTTGCCCTGTTTGCTTATTGCCCTGCCAACAAGCATTTTGAGCTATATCCTGAATAAAAATCTCACAGACAATGTGTTGCTTTTTTTTTTAATGTTCTTCACGTTTTTTAGCTTTATTTTTCGGCCAATCACAAGAGGTTATTTCTGTTTTATTATTAAAACAAGAGGTTCGTTTCCTGTTGAGAGCCGAAAGTTATTAGCTCAATCATCACAAGGAAAAGGTCCATCATGAGGAGTTATTACTGTTTTATCATTAAAACAAGACTTTCCGCTTGTTGAGAATTGGAAGCTATCAGCTTAATTAAGAGTTCGACCATTCATTAGGTGTAACATACTGTACTGCCGAATATCAAGTGGCCCAAAAATGATGAAAGGTTTGAAAATTCAATTAATTATTATCAGAAAATGTTAGTTTTCTGCTTTTTGCTTTTTAACTCAAAGTATTTATTCCCTTCAAATTTTTAAATTAGTTACTAAGATCCTCAACAGACGTCGAAGTAAGACAGGTAAAATTATAAAGTTATATTCCACGCTGTTGCTGCAAATACAAGTTATTTTGAAAAACTGCTTTATATTTAATCACGTTTAGTAGCTCCATCTGTTGATGAAATTTGCCTCCTTTCACTTTCGTAATAAAGTTTTCAGATCTATGTCTAATATCAGTCTATCGGTATACCGTAATTCAATATTCCTGTCATTATGAAGAAGAAATTTAAAAAGATGATTACCAGATTTTTATTTCGTGCTGTGTACATACAAATGAAGGCTTAATTGCCTTCAAAATTTTAAAAATTATTTTTATGGAAATTTTTATGTGCATACAACTTTTATAGGGCTTTGGTGATTGGCCATGGGTGAGTGTAGTGTAGAAGTATGCTGGTAATGAATTCCTTATGCACAGGGCCGGATTACC